GGGGCCTGAGCGCATTCTTCTGCTTCCCAGAACCTAGCAGGTGCTCAAGAAAGGCTCGTGGAAACATTAGTAGCCAACACTTAAGAGCACCGACACCGATTTTGCGCCAGGAGCTATGAAATGTCTTGTCTATTCTTTCATCTTCTCATGTGATCCTCTCAAGAACCATGACAATTAAGTGCAAATGTTACCCCAGGGAGGCTCAGGGAGGTTAAGTAACTTGCCTAGGGTCACACAGTAAACAGGAGAATAAGGGAAAAAAGGAACGAGGTGTGCCGCCCTGCAGCCACAAGTTCCCCAGCCCGTCCAGGCTCTCTCTGCAGCTGCCAGGGCCCCTCCCTCTGCCCCAAGGATGCCAGTCGGGCACATTAGGAGAGTGCAAAGAAGGAGCCCTGCAGGGTGGGGATGGGGGCATAGACATGAGGACCTGGTGCGGGGGGCCTCTGTGGGCCGAAGAGCCCTGCAGGCTGAGGGCGTCCTGGAGGAGGCTGCCAGGGTCCCACTGATATTTTCATCCTGTAACCTTTCTCCTTATCAGGTAACTTTCTGCCAGGCCCTCCCAGCAATCACAGAGCAGCCTGGAGTTGCCAGACCTGTTCCCAGGCCAGCTGTGCCAGGTCGGGTGAGGCAGCTGCCGGACGTGTCGATGTGTAAACCAGGAGGAGGCCAGACTAGCTGGAGCTTCGGTTAGGTCAGTCCGGGTGCCACTCCAGTGCCAGACGTGGGCCCACGGCATCTGGTGGGGGGCTGCGCAGGCTCCTGGGAGGATTGGCCGTCAGCAGAGGCAGGGGTGAGACGGGCCAGGAGCAGAGTCGGCACATGTGAAGGCAGCATGTCAGGCAGAGAGCAAAGGCTCAGCAAAAGGATCCAGGGTCGGAGCCCACACCTGCGGGGTACCTGGGGTCCCGGGGTGAGGGCCAGCAGCACGAGGTGTGGGGAGAGGAATGGGATGTGAGGACACAGGGTGGGGGGCCATGGTCCTGGGGCCTGGCTCAGTGCAGGGAGGTGGGTGCTGCCCTGCCCCAGCTGTGCACGTGACCTCCGGCCCATCATGCTGTCTAAGCCTCACTCCCCCGCCCCGCAACCCCTGTGACACCCAGGAGTACGCTCGGAGGAACCGTCCATCCCTGACCTCTGCTGGCCTGGCCCCGGGGGTAGAGGCAGACCCTGTCCTCCCTCGAGAGGCTCCCCAGGCTGGGGGAGGAGGCGGCGTGTGGGCAGACGGGGGCCAGCCAGGTGTGGCCCGGGCTGTGATTGGGATGTACCGGGGAGTTGGGACGAGGGAAGCTTCTTGGGAGGTTTTGTAGAAGGAATACTCACTGTTCATTTCTGATTCTGGAAGCATTGGATGCTCGCTGTAGAAAATTTGGAATCTGCAGAAAGATGCTGAGAAGTCAAAAAAAGTGCAGGGCACACACTGATGCTGGTGAGGAAGGTGCTGCAGGGCCACCAGACCTGGGACTGAAGCCACCAAGTAGCAGCTGTGAAGAGGGCAAATCGGATCACCTCTCAGAGCCTCGGGTTTCTCTTCCTTACAACGAGGTAACAAAAAGACCTTTGAGGCTTAAATGAGACGATGCTCGCTGAGCGCTGGGCCCCAGGTGCCAGCTCTGCTTCCCCTCCCACCTGTGTTCCTGGGCCCACAGAATAGATCCCAAATCCCTATGTGAAGGTCCTGTCAGGCTGCTGACCTGCCCAGTTGCATCTTGTTTCTCTAAATCTGCCCCCACAGGGCCTTTGCTTGTGCCGGCCCCTCTATCCCGAGGCCTGCCCTCCGAGGGCCCTCCCCTGCCCCTTTCCCACTGCAGTCGGGGCCTCTGCTGGGTCTCCAGCCGGCCTCTCCCAGGGCCTGCGGCACCAATTCAGTTATTTGTTTTTGTTTTGTTTTGTTTTTAGTATTTATTTATTTGGCTGCACCAGGTCTTAGTTGCTGCACGCGGAATCCTTTAGTGGCAGCATGAGGGATCTAATTCCCTGACCAAGGAGCGAACCCGGCCCCCTGCATTGGTAGCATGGAGTCTTAACCACTGGACCACCAAGGAAACCCCACCAGCTCATGTTTATAATTATCTTGTTTTCAGTGTCATTATCGTTCCATGTCTAGACCGTGAGCTCTGCACAGGCTGGCTAGGTCTGCCGTGGTCACCTCTGTGGCCCAGGTCCAGCCAGGCCCTGCCTGGTCAGCAGCCAGGGTCCCTAGTCAGCCCCACCTCAACGAGCACCTGGGATAAGGAGCAAGGGCCAGCCGTCCCACTCCAGGGCCCCTGGGGATGCGGCTGACCTCAGCCCCATTCAGCCGTCTGCCTCCTCATTTGACTGGGCAATGGTGGGGCTGGGATTTGGCCATGCAAAAGCTAAGCCTGAGGCTGTCCCCAGGCACTCCAGGTGTGCACAGTGAAGACACAGACAGTGACAGTGGAGAAAGTCAGGGAACCCCTGACCTGCTTGCCTCACCTGGGAAACGTATGATTGAGCTGGGGCCAGGGTCCCTCGACAGAACTCAGGACACCTGGGTGCCATAGCTCACCCCAGACTCCTCCACTCCGGGCCTTGATTCAGCCCTAGAGAGGCTCTAGGGAGCCATGGACAAAGTTAGAGCAGGGCTGATCGGACCACGAGCCACTTGAACCCCGCAGGGAAAGCCGGGTGAGAAAGGTGATGCTGGCACTGCAGGCAGAGCTCTGGGTCAGCCCTGCAACTTGGAGGCCTGAAGGGGCTCCAGGCAACCCTGGACTGAGGGTGGGCGCTGCCAGTGGTCAGGGTTGGGCCCAAAGCAGCCCCAGCCAGGCCCAGCTCCTCCAGGACGCACTCAGGAGGAAACAGCCCCCTGCCCGTCTTGGCCCGGAGCCGGGGCCTAGGACTGACTGCCCTCTGTCCCTCTGCAAACTGGGGCAGGGGTCTAGGTGGGGCCACCCCTGGGCTGGCTGTGGGTGGGCACAGCTTAGGGCCCGTTCCAGCCCAAGACATGGTGGACAAGTCCTTACTGAACACCTACTGTGGGCCACGTCCTCCCCGAGGCCGTGGGATGGGGGGAGGGGATGGACAGTGCCGGGAATGAGGGCCTCACTGCCAGGCGGAGGGAGGTCGTTCTGCAGGTGTTGCCCAGGAACGTGCCCAGTCTCTGTTCCTGTCTCCCCATACTCCTCAGCTTGGGTGGCCCCCTGAGCCAGGCACCAGTGCTTTCCCCGTCTTATGGTTCCTAAGAATAATAACCTCAGTGTACAGTACAGGCCTGTGCTGTACATGCCTATGGAGGAGTGCTGTCCCCACGTCCCAGATGAAGAGACTGAGGTTCAGACAGGAGGAGGGGGAGGTGCCGATGGGGCCCCCGGCCCACAGGGTGCCCACGGGGGACGTTGAGACCCATCTCACTCCATGGCCAACACTCTGAGGCAGAGGTCCTGGGCTCAGGCCTGTGGGATGCTGCTGGACTCTGAGGACGACTTACGTCCACACACAGAGAGAGACAGAGACGCAGAGACACAGAGAGACAGACAGACAGACAGACAGAGACGCGGAGGAACAGGCAATGGTACGGTTTCGTGGCCCCAGCTGGGGTGCTCAGAGCGCTTCCTTGCTCAGGGTCCAGGCAGTTCCCGCCCAGAGGCCCTGCTGGGCTCCTTCCCACACCCATGCCCCATCCCCCTCCGCCCTCAGCCCCACTGGGGCTCCCTTGGGCGTCAGGCCAAAGCCCGGATGAGCTCCAGGCCGCAGTCAGCCGTGCCGCAGGCCTTCCCATGGATGCCCCGCCAGGGTGAGCCCGCGGGCCAGGCGGGGGGCAATTCCAGGGCGGCTCGGCCCAGGCCCAGGGAGAGTCGCTGACTTTCTCGGGACCTCTGTCTCCTTGTGGGGACTCCACTGCACAGGCAGCTCGAGGACTCTGGGGGACTGGGCTTTGGGGTGACCCTCGGTGGGGCCTCACTGTCCCAAACCCCAGCTCATGCCGCTGGACTCGGCCTTCATCCGGAAGGAGCCCTTGGGCCCGGGGCTCATCATCGCCCCCTGGAACTACCCCTGTACCTATCCCTGGTGCCCCTGGTGGGCGCCCTTGCAGCAGGTGAAAGAGAGCCTCCTCCTTCCTGCCCCCTGCCAGTCCCCCCAGCCTCGTGGCCTCACAGCTACCCACAGAGCCAGGAAAGAGGGGCACCAGGTGGCTAAGAAGGCCTGGTTCCCATCTGGCCCACCATCCCCAGGCTGTGTGGCCTTGGGGCCAGCAGGGCACCTCTCTGAGCCATATTCTTCCCCTGAAGGTGGAGTGAGGCCGGCAACTGCCCTGCAGGTGTGAGGACTGAATGGAGACGGGGAGCGGCTACAACTGGCCCCCCCTCTCCCCGCCCCGCCCCGTCCCGCCCCTCAGGGAACTGCGCGCTGCTGAAGCCCTCGGAGGTCAGCAAGAGCACTGAGAAGGTCCTGGCCAAGGTGCCGCCCCGATACCTGGACCAGGTGAGGGGGGGCCTGCTCCCTCAGCATCTGCGTCCCACACCCGCACCCCTGCCGGTAGGAGGTCTGCAGTGTCCCCTGAGCCGTCTGCCCCCCTTGCAGAGCTGCTTTGCCGTGGTGCTGGGCGGGCCCGAGGAGACGGGGCAGCTGCTGGGGCACAAGTTCGACTACATCCTCTTCACGAGTGAGGGTGGCCCCGGCCAGTGTCCTGGGGGGGAGGGACATAGAGAATGGGGTGGAGAAGGCGGGGGAAGGAGGAAGTGGTGGCCAGTGGGGTAAAGCATCCCAGGTGGCAATCAACCCAGGCAGGAGGGCCTGGCGCGGTGGGATCCGGGGGCAGCCGGGCAGGGGGCATGACCCAGTGGGTGAGCCAGGATGGGCTGGGAAGGTGGTGCCTGAACCATCTGGCTAAGGGCATTTGAGGCTTGGGGTCAACTCTCATGTCCCCAGGTGGCCCCCGAGTCGGCAAGATCGTCATGGCTGCTGCCGCCAAGCACCTGACACCCGTCACGCTGGAGCTGGGGGGCAAGAACCCCTGCTACGTGGACGACAACTGCGACCCCCAGACTGTGGCCAACCGCGTGGCCTTCCGCTATTTCAACTCCGGCCAGACCTGCGTGGCCCCCGACTATGTCCTGTGCAGCCCCGAAATGCAGGCTCGACTGCTGCCCGCCCTGCAGAGTGCCATCACCCGTTTCTATGGCGAAGACCCCCAGAGCTCCCCAGACCTGGGCCGCATCATCAGTGAGAAGAATTTCCAGCGGCTCCGGGGCCTGCTGAGCTGTGGCCGCGTGGCCATCGGGGGCCAGAGTGATGAAAGCGATCGCTACATCGGTGAGTCCCGCCCTCCCTGCCACTGTGCCCGACTCCCAGCCCACCCCAGCTAAGCCCAGCCCCTCCACACTGGGGGCCACAGCTGGGCCCCGAGTCTGGGCCCAGCCTGTAACCTCGGGCCCTGAGGCTCCCCGACCCCACTGCTAGAGCCCAGCCTGGTCCACGGCTCTGGTGCCACGATTCTGTGACACTAGTGTCCCGCGTTGCCGTGTCTGAGCCTGTGACCCCACGACTCAGCACTCTGGCCCAGGCTCTGGATTCTCCAAGCTCAGACCCCAGAGTTCTAGCGTTCAGGTTCCAAACTTCAGCCCCAAGGTCTGCTGCTCCACGGGGCCATGACCCCAGGTCCTATGAGCCCACGATTCCCGGTTCTGAATTTCAACAGCCCGTCCTGAGCACCCGCTATGCTGTGAACAAAGCAGTCCCAGTCTCCTGGGCCGAACGACTCAGAGGGTGACGCTGCTCCCCAGCAGGCTGGGACCTGGGACCTCAGGTCCGGTCACCCTCTGACTGTAAGACCAAGGCTGAGGGGCTCTCTGGGCCCCACGGGCCCCGCTCAGGCTGGGGAGCCCCTCAAGGTCACTTCCAGGGGGCTGTGGGGAGATCACCTTCCCCAGAACGTCCCTGAGCCTGGAGCCCTGGGTCCCTGGGCCCTGCCTGCCCGAGGCCCCGCCCCGGGGGCTGAGCCGTGCCCTGTGCCCGGGCAGCGCCCACGGTGCTGGTGGGCGTGCAGGAGACGGAGCCGGTGATGCAGGAGGAGATCTTCGGGCCCATCCTGCCCATCATGAACCTGAGGAGCCTGGACGAGGCCATCGAGTTCATCCACCGTCGGGAGAAGCCCCTGGCCCTGTACGCCTTCTCCAGCAGCAGCCAGGTGGGGCTGGACAGAGGTGGGAGCAACAGAGGAGCCCAAAAGAGTGAGACCGGTCACCTCCCCTTTCCCGGCCCACTTGTGAGGGTTAGGGCAGCAGGTGCCTCCAGTGTGACTATAATCCAGGCCACTGGACAACGGCACCCTGCACACAGGTGCCTGGCAGAGACAGGGGCAGCGTCAAGAAGCTGCCAACCCGTGGCTGGCCAACTGTCTGCCCGGGCCAGGGCAGCTCCCGCCCGGACGAGGGGGTGCTCTCTCTATCTGGCCTGCCCCGGGGTGGCCCTCTTTTCCTCGGTCGTGTAAAAGTTCTGTGTGGGCGAGCAGGGCCCCTGAAGGGGGAGGGGGCAGAGCAAAGGTGGGACCCGGCAGGCAGAGCCAGGCTGGCCGCCATGGAGCCTGTGCACTGCTGCTGCTGTGACTCTCGCTGCCGTTTCTCAGGGCCACGGACTCCCCTCTGTGAGCTCAGAGGGGCAACACTCAGTAGAGGATGGAGACAAGGGAAGCTCCTCTGCTCCCTGTGGAATGACGAGCCTACCCTCCACCCACCCACCCACCCCCGCTCCCAGCCTCCCTCCTCCCACCAGGTAGTGAACCAGATGCTGCACTGGATCAGCAGCGGCCCCTTTGGAGGCAAGGAGGGCTGCATCTACCTGACTCTGTCGTCCCTGCCACTAGGGGGAGTCGGTGAGCCCTGCCCTCCTTCACCCTCCAGCGGCAACTCCCAGGGAAGCTCAGGTTGGCATCCCAGACCCAGGAAGGCCCAGTTTTGCCTTCCCTCACTGTTGATCCAGGCCCCAGGCCTCTCAAGGCTTCAGTTTCCTTATCTGCAAAATGGCTCTTAGAATGGCCTGGCTTTCCCTGAGCCCCCTGCTGGGCGGTGGGCTGCTGCTGAGCGGGCCCTCACTTCCGTGCCCATGCAGACAACAGCGGAATGGGCAGCTACCACAGCAAGTTCTCCTTCGACGCCTTCTCCCACCACCACGCCTGCCTGCTCTCCCCCTCGGGCCTGGAGAAGCTCAAGGACATCCGCTACTCGCCCTTTTCTGCCTGCAAACAGCAGCTGCTCAGCTGGGCCTTGGGCAACCAGCGCTGCATCCTTCTGTGAGCACCCTGTCCATCTCCAGTGCCCCATCCCCACGACCCCCCCTGTCCTGCTGTTGCCCAGGTGCTCAGTGGCCCCCCAAAGGCAGGTGTCCTGTCCAGGAACACAAAGATCCTGCTCCTGTGGCTTTGTCTGAACAGACCCCTGGCTGGGCAGGACCTCTGGGACACTGGTCCAGCCTCTTTCAGGGCCAAAGTCCCCTCTGCAGCCTCCTGACAGATTTGTTGACCCTCTGCTTGAACATATCTGATGACAGAGAACTCACCCCCAAGGTTGGGCAGCTCTGGTGGTTAGAAAAGACTCCCTCACGTCAGATCTATAAATAAGCTCCCAAAATACCGAGTGATTTCTAACAGCTCCAGTCACACATGGTTTGGGGAGCTGGGTTTGTCTGACCTGAAGTGATCTGATCTTGAACTCAGGTCTGGCCAGTCGCTGGTGTTGGCCTGAAGTGCGTTATTTACAAGGACTCTGATGGTGTGTGTGGAATCTATAGGAAGGAGTGCAATGGTTGATTAGTGATGTCTGCTATGGGCACAGGATGGGGTTGTGCACATGCTGGCCACATCCATCATTCCTGC